AAGAAATTTCTTCATCAGGGACTTGACGTGAAGATCCTTCTTCTTGGTATTTCTGGATAACGCTTGCATATTGCTTGTGGAACTCAGGGTCTCTTTCCATTCTCTTTTTCAGCCAATACAATCTCTTCTTTGCCACTGGTAGACTATCAGGTAAGCAGGGAGGACTATGCCGGAATGGCAGCTTGAGCTGATAATGTCCATTAACAAGGACCGCTGATTGATCCATAATCTGCTTCGCTCTTTGGTCTTCCAACGACAAACTCTCTTCAACATCCACAAGGGTATCTTTGAACTCGGTATTGTACAAACGTTCCAATTGCTGACTTAACATCTCTTCATGATCACTCCTTACGAAATTGACATGGATGCCATTGCTGTTGGGTTCACCCATTGGGCCATACACCGTCCAACCTAAGGGAGTATTTACGGCATAGGGCTGGCCCCGAGCTCCTCTTCTGATTTCAGAATTATCATCGATAATATCCGGTCGGTCGCTGCCAATAAGGATGGAGACTCGATGCCCTTCTATTTCGGGAAGACTGACGCCATCAAGGTGTGGCCATTTTGTCAATTCTCTATTGTTGGCGAAATGTCTCTCTCCAATGGGTAGGCTCTCCATTGTCAGAACCCGATCGAGTGTGAACTTCGTTTTCCCGTCAAGTGCTTCTATATCCAAGCGGGCTTGGTGACCACGTTCCTTCCCTTCATAATTGACTGTTGAAAGGGTAAAATCAGTAGGCTCACGTTCAAGGCTTAATTCTTCTACAAGACTTTCTAAGCAGAGTGTAGTGTCTGATCCGCTGTCTAGGAAGGCGTATGTTGTTAGCTGCTTGTTCCCACCTGGCCCACTGACTCTTACTGGGACGACCTTGAAGCAGACCCTCGGTCGACTGCTGGTTGAGGCTTCCCTTGGAGCAGAATCTCTGGATACGGCAAAGGTACTGGATTCGATAACCGGGGGATGGTTGGATTCAGTGAGTGTCGCAGCTGTTCTACCAACTGAACTTTGGCCACGAATGACTGGTTGCTGATTTGCACTTTCTTGTTCTACTACACGGTCGTCAGTCTCTTCGCGGTCTGGCGGGTGAAGAAGGAAATGGTGCTTCTTTCCACAACCCGATTTCCGACAAGAAAATCCCTTCGAACAAGATCTTGAGAAGTGTCCATACGAAAGGCAACTTCCACACAGCTTCTTCTGTCGTACAGTTCGCGACCGATCTTCGTAAGATGCATTCTTAAAGGTCTCACACTGCCAAATTGCATGCGGTCCGGAACATTGATAACACTTCAAGGTGGCTAAGCCAGTACCAGCAGACCTTCTGTTTCCTCTGCTCTGGGTAGCTAGGGTTGTAGCCTTAAATGGCAGATCTTGTTTGTCTTTGTTTCCATGTCTTCTTTCCTTTTCATGCTGAGGCAGTGACGACTTCAGTTCCTGGCCAAAACGGTTGTTTAAGCGATCTGCTCGTTTCTGTATGAAATTCACAAAATCAGAAAAGTAAACTTGTCCCTTAGAACAAATTAGGTCTCCAGCAACGTCTGTCCATTTCCGCTTCAAGCCCTCATCAGGTAACTTTTTCATCAGCATAAGAATCGTATCTTCATTGTCGAGGCGGCTTACGTAAAGTGGTCCCATACTCGTTAACACTCGTTTGGTATCTTCAAGTTTTCTCGCAAAATCCATCAGACTTGCGGCATCAACTCTTCTAAGGTTGTATTCTCTTAACCTTTTCATGTGTGCATCAGCCACCATGTGAGGCTGTCCAAAATTCTTTGACAGAGTTTTCCACGCTTCACCATACCTCTGACCAGTAGGAAGGTTGACGCAGCTTTTTATAGCCTCTCGCGCCTTTCCAACACACTGCGCGAGTAGACGGGTCAATCTTTGCGAATCATCGGGCACCTGACTCTCAATGTGGTCGCAGAAATTGGCAACAAATTCTCCATACTCGGAAGGGTCTCCCCCAAACTTCATCAACTCAATTTTCGGTAGAGTGGGACCTTGTTTAAGTGCCTCTGCGATTGCTTGCCATGGCGCTTTATCTGCAAGTTCTACTGACGGGGGGTGTGGCACTTGGCTGGCTGGTTGCTGTGTAAGGTGCTGAAGTGTTTGTAACAACACTTGCTCAAGCTGAGTGTGACTTGGCTGAGGGGTTTGAAGCTCACTTTTAAATTTATCGGTGGGCGAACTCTTCTCATCCTTGGTCACAAACGGTTTGAATTCATCTACATCTACTCTTACTGAAGACTTTTGCCTGGTCTCTTTCGGCTGAGAAGCAGGGTTGGGAAGTGGTACGTATGGGGGATCCATGTCACTCTGAGAAAACGTCGATACCGACGACACCTCATGCTCAGCTTCCAAAGCCTTAGTTCTGGTTGCTTGTACATCAGATGGGGGTTGCGGGATAAGGTGTGTGTCTTGTGGTAAACTGAAAGGCCTTAGTGGTGTGTGAGGGATCAACTCTGGATTTAATGGTGGAATTATCTCACTTACAGTTTCGTCGTCCGAGCGCTCGGTCTGCAATTCCTCTTTCTCAATCTCGAGGTCCACAGTAGCCTTCTTTAGTTCCATTTCCACCTGCATCCTTTCAATTTTCCTTGCCATCTCAGCCTTGTTTCGTTCCCTTTCCTTAGCGATTTCAAGCTCTCTCTTCTGAAACTCAGCTTCTTCCTCTTCCAAGCGACGCTCCAGGCTCTGCCTTTGTTCAAGTGCTTCCACCTTCAGCCGTGCTTCTTCAAGCAATCTTCGCTTCTCTCTTACGCTACTCGAACTGGTACGGGAACTCTTCCCGGTTTTACTCGACCGATGTGATTTGCGATCAGACTTGGACCTTCCTTTCGTGTCGTTTTTATAGTCTTGAAGCCAATACACTGTACCACTTCAGCAAAGTTGACCTTTCAGTTTCAATGGACCACACCTATAATACCATTACCATCAACTGAGAAACAGTTTTCTTTTCACTTGACTCTGAAGATGACTTCCACTCAGGTTTTTGAAACATCAGTCACCAAGGACAGTTCTATTCAGAACTACCCTCACCATGATGATAACATTAGATCAACTTCTGATGCATATACCCTCGGGTTCAAACTAGTGACATAATATGTAACATTCTCTTTTGTGATGTAAAATGTTGCATGTCATACTTTTTTAATCCAACAGTATACTATTCTATCTTTTGTAGATTTCCATGGTATGACCTTGAGGAAGATAAAGAGACCGGTATGTACATGTTAGACTTTTTTGCTGTAATGTATTTGTCTTTGCAGTCAGTTATGTTCCATGTTGTTATATTTACCCCACAATAAACTTATTTTTTTATAGTTCAATGAAATCTTTGATAAGCTCTGTATTGTAATCTAATCAGTTGAAAGTGTGGGGATGAAGTTTTTAAAAGGTAGTAGCATGTTTTATCTCTGCCATAACATATTCTTAAATGCAGATTTTGATTGATCTTTAATCAAGTAAAGTCCACTATTAACACTGTAGTAACTTCATGTTGTGTAAACTCCAAAACACTCATCTGACCATATAAACCACCTACAGGCTTGAAAAGTTTCGGTTGTTTTCATTCATTAGAAAA